CTTTGCTGCTTCCTGTCAGGATCGTATAGAATGTATGCGCCACCTGTGCTGCGGCAGCCATGGAGAGGTGCTTTTCACCAGCCCCCAAGCTGCTGCTTTGAGGGGGCTGGAGTAGTCCTCTCTCCCTGGGGAGCCTGGATCCCCAGCCTCGCCCCAGAGCAATGATTTAAATGAAGCATGGACATGTTATTCCAAAAAACTAAAATTGAGTTAAGGGCCCGAGCAATGCTGAGTAAATCTAGTGTCTTATAACGCAGGAACCCTAGTAGGCAGCCTTGAATTCTTGCCCCCGCTCCCAGTATAATAGCCTTCCTTTTGAAATCACATTCATTTTATGCTGCCCCAAGCATGCCACCTAGTGGATTAGACCTGTTAATATGACATTTGGAAGGTTTTGGTCCCTAAGAGGCGGTTACAGCTTTCAATACAGTAGACTTCCAATAATCCGGAATCTATGGGACCTAGGTGGTGCCGGACTATCAGATATGCCGGACTATCAGGAGGTACTATAAGCTGGTTATATATAGATATATACACTGTATACATTATATACTGTATATAAAGTGTTCTTAGCCCTTTTTATTGTACATATTGTATACAGTATACTGTAAAGTATTGGGCTTGAGACTCAATGTCTCCATTCAAATAAAGGGGTCTGTTTGTAAGTGTTTAGTTGAAAGCTTACATTAGAACATCATTATGCAGCAAACTCACGGTAACTTAAGTGGCCGAGACTCCTGTTACACACAGTGAATCTCTACATCAGTGATTTGCATACTAGGCGAGTGAGTGAGCCGTGTGACCCTCCTCCATTTCCATGGGCTGCAAGATTATAACCAAGACAGTCTCCTGGGGTAGGGCAGTTTTGCTCACTGCTTGCATGCAGTGCTTTGATTGGCTGCAGAGGGAGCACACAGCTCTCACAGTCAGTGTTGTGTGCAATCAGCACCCACCTCACTTCACGTGCCTTTGCTCTGCCCGTGTATTGCTTTACGTGTGTACCGATGGGGGAAAAAATGAATGTGGAGGGAAGCCAGTGGCATCTGGCAATGCTGAGCAGGGGAACGGGAAACAAAAGGTCTACACATGTAGAACCTGGATGGGCTGCATGCTGCCCGGGGGCCACAAGTTGCCCACCCCCTGCCCTACATATTGGAGACACGGTTTTGGAAATGGAGTGTTGTGGTCTCATGTGGAACCCTGGCCATGGCCTGGCCCTGCCTTTGAATCGTTAGCTTTGAGAATGAACAAAGAAAGATGGAGCTACTTTCCCACATGCCTTTGCCAGCTTTGGCTTTTAAAGCAACGGTCTCCTGTAAGGAGCTTTGTCTTTGGCCTCTCGCCCTTCCTCAGATACTGGAGAGGGCCCTTTGGCTGCAAGTGGACAGAAATTTTATCCAGTTCTCAGACTGAATCCCATTTCCAACTAGTTGATAAAGCCTGGTTCTAAATCTGCACCGGCATCCCACCCCCATGCTGCCTGCTGTGGTTCCCTGTGTCGGCTCCCACTCAATGCGTCTCTCCGTACACTGCAGGGACTGAGATTTAAATGTGGGGTGAGAGATGCGTAGAACTGAAGTCACAGCTGGGTTTTATATTTGTGACGAGCCTTTGTCCAAAACCATCCCTAGCTCTGCAGTTTGCAGACCCTTTGTCCTGACTGCTTTGGGAATTATCTGCTTACGGCGCCACTTTATCTAGTCAAGCATTCTTGTGGATTGCTACTTTAATAGCTGATCTTGGAATTCCCCTTTGCATAAAACTTCCCCTACCTGTATCGATGCTAACATCTCCCCGACAGGCCAAACAATCTCATTTGTAGCTTTGTATGTATTATTGTCACACTGAAATGCTTTTAGAAATCAAGCTTTTGCCCTGTTCCTTTTTGAGGTTTATTTGTAGGAGCAATGACTAATTAGCAGCATTTGAAGTTGATAAAACTGCTCTGAATTCTGCTGTTGGGAACCAGCCAAAGAATGAAGCTGAACATTGATGCTGTTCCAACCAGTGAGAAATGAGGCATGGCCTGATGTCAGAAGTTACCAGCCTGAGGGATGTTCAGAGGGAACGGAGCAGTAGATGCGCCCAGAGGAAGTTCAGAGCTCCGGGTGTCTTGACTCAGTGAAAAGGAAGAAAGTGTGAACCAGTCTATAGTTCTAAACAGCCTAAGCTTGCTCCTCTTACTGATGTTAGACAGTTTATTGGCTTCTCCACATTAGACAGTGACTTAACATTCCCTTCTGGGGGGGGAACAATCCCACACACGTACATCGGGACAGATGGATGCTTGGCTTTGGAATTTAAATATGTATGACATGCAGCTGTTCTGAATTTCGTTGTGCAAATTTCTCCCTCCTCCCCCTTTTTTCATCAGCTCCATGCGCCAGTGGCTTAGAAACTGTTCCTAGCTGATAAAGTACTACTACTATTTTGGACTCGTGGTTATATGAAGTGTCTAGTGAAGGCATGGTTAAGAACTAGGATTCTGCAGTCACTCTGCGCGCCCATTAATTCTACTTCGAAAGCTGTATGGGTTTTTTAATGTACTTTTAGTTTGGATGCACAGACTTTTGGAGTTACACAAATGTGTCTGACCAGGTATGGCAGTTTGTTTCAAATGAATAATTCTGTGCACGTACACACGGATGTTATTGCAGAGTTACTCAGAAAGGTGAAACTTAAAAACAACAAATAGTCTAGCATATGGGTTCCCAAACTGGGGGGGGGGGCGTGAAGAAATTCCGGGGGGAGGCGCAAAGCGACCCAGTCCCCACCCCCTGTCAATCGTCCCCTCCCAAGTTTTGCTGCTATTTTTGTTTTTTGTCCCTGGTCAGTTCCTTTTTTTTCCTCAACAAGTTTTGCTGTTATTTTGGGGGTGGGGGCATGAGGGTTTCTCTAAAATCAAAAAGAGGGCGTGATGCCGAAAAGTTTGGAAACCACTGGTCTAGTACCACCTTAAAGACTAACAAAACACGTAGATGGTATTATGAGCTTTCATGGGTAAAACCCACTTCTTCAAAGGATTGGTTACTGTTGCCATTTGACAACTGGTGGAACAAAGGCATGAAAGCCGTTAAGTCACATGCATGTATTGACTTGGGAAGCCATAGTAGCTTCCACCCAGGTGTCTTGGGGCAGGGTGTGCTGTTTAGTGCAGTGTCTGACACCCAGGGGTTAAATGCAGCGTGTTCATAATCTTCCTTGTTTTTCCTTGAGCGACCTGTGGGAAAGATTTCAAAAGGACTCAATCCCGGAGCGGAATGCGCTGGATTTTGGAGGTAGCAGACGGGTGTAGTTTAGACCTGTGGAGTTAGTGGCATGTCAAGCCAGCCATAACTTAGCTACCAGCAGGCACATCTCCTTGAAGGTGGGGGCGGTAGCTCAGCTGAAAACATTCACCCTCTGTGGCAGTCGCTGCACATCCAGAAAAGGGAGCTGGCTTTTTATTCCACTTCTCGTTACTGACGGTAAATGGGAGTGCTGCAGGGCAGCCGCATCGTACCCGTCTTGTTGTGGATCACTCAAATCCCCAGGCAAGCAGGTACCGAGAAGACAATTTATTCTCCAGAACTCTCAGGCTACAGCTAAATGAGGGGACAACAGCAAAGGCCTGTCTTGCTCATTCACTTTCTTGTGTCGGTCTGAGCCAAGCACTCAGGGATTTGGTTTATTAATCTTCAGAGAAGACGACAGGATTTGGCCTGCTCAGCAAAGCCTTGTGACTGAGCATAGGGCCCAGTGGCCTAGGAGCACTTGTTACTGCGTCTGCAACAAGAGAGACTGAACATCTCGTCTGCCACATGTCAGCCTGTAGCTGTTGCATCTCGCCGGCCAGATGCCCTCCAGTGTGAACAACCCTCCTCTGCTGTTGTAACGTACCCACTCGTGCCGGGACTCTATGGCAGTGGGACGGAGAATTCTGTTCACGGCCTGGCCTGTTGCGCTCGCGCAGCACTGCTCTGAACAGTGCTGTTGCCAGCTTTCATTTTCCAATGAAACCAGAGTGTCCTTTTGGCTCCGCCTGCCGCAGACCAATGGAAACCCCAGAGCTCTTACTTCCCCAGAAAGCAGAAGTAAGGAAGGGGGAAGAGGAACCGAGACCTGGGGGAGTTCCTGTTTTTGTGTGTCAAAGATGCACAGAAATGGGGGCTGCTTCTAGTTGGCTAACTAGTCCTTGGCGCTGCTGGCATGGTATTCAGTGGACAAGGCCACCCATGACTGAGGGAGGGTGAGCCTCGCCTGGCTGGTCCTGTCAGCAGCGATCAGAGGCACCTGCCATTGAGAAGGGAGGCGACTAGCCAGCCTGAAGGAAGCTCTGGAGAACGCGTGGGCTCTAACTCCGGATATAGCAATAGCCCCATCTAGCTTGTCTGCTTTTACGAGCTAAGCAGCCTCAGAGAGTAGATGGCAAACTTCCTCTCACCATGTCATGGGCGCTCTGGAGTGGATCTGAGGGTGAGACTGTTGGGAAGAGGCATAAATTGGGAGTAAAGATGTTACCTCCATGGGCCTGCCTCCCTGAATTCCCCCTGTGGTTTCAATTGGACACCATTCCAAACGCAGCCTTGGCAGGAGATACCGTTCAAGTTGCCGAAGAGGAAGAATGTTTCTCTCTGAGGAAGACGCATAAAATGCACCCCTATCCCACACAGCCCTTCATCCAGCGGTTCCGCCTCTCCCCCAGGTCCAGTTGTCATTACTGGCCATTCTTGCTTCAGCAGCTCTCTGTGCGCTCTGCCTTTGCTCCCAAGCCCTCTTTCCCGTACTCAGTACCTGCTGTCTAAAGTTGCACCTTTTGGTTTCAGTCAGGGGTGGACTGAATCCCTACCGGCTGTCCTTCCCCCTCAGGAAAGCTAAGGTGTCAAGTGCTTTAATGTTCATCCCTGCTGGAATTAACCCTGGCCTCACCCAGAGTTTCTGGATACATGGTTTCGCCCAGACTGATTAAACTATGAAATCTTGGGCCCCTAGCTGCCTGGCTAGATTTCTCTGTGCCCTTTTGTCTCAAAGTTCCCAACAGCCAGGGAGTTCAAGGTTTTTGCCACTTTTTTGGGGGAAGTGTAAAGATCTTCTTCAAGCCACGTAAAGTGCTCTCTACTGGGTGTTGTATGAATGGGTTTAGTAATGACGATGAGTTGAGCTCGTCGGATGACAGGTGGTGTAGACGTGCAAAATATTATCATCTGTACATGAAACAAAACCGTCAATGCAAGTGTAATGGAGATCTTAAATGCTCAGAGTAACTGCTCCGACAGCAGCTGGTCCTCTGTGCACACACTGACATGGGATGATTTCTTCTTATGCCTTAAAGTTAGGGACCTGCCTGAACCAACCTGCAAAATCCATTTGCCCCAAATGCTGGGGAAGGTTGGATTTTGATCGGAGCGCTGCAGCGTGCAGCTTCTTCTCCATGTTTGATGTGCCAAAGAATGAGTTCTGAGAGGATTATAAAGTAGAAAAGTCTTGGCTTTCATGTCGCTGAAATCTCATAAGTAACCTAACTGTAATGTTCTGATTTAATTTCCTAAAACCTCAGAAATGGCTAGAACGCTGAAATGCTCCAGTTATTCATATCAGAATGTATAATCCCTGAATAAATGCCAGTATGTGAATCTTACTGTTCCATACCTCAAAGTCGAACCCAGGCACTAGATGTATTGCCATAGCTTGGTGTGTTACAGAGTGGATAGAAAATACCATTTTGCTTGAGCATAAAACACAGCTTATAAATACGGATTATTTAGGATCCAGTACTACAAAGACTGGCTTAAATAAATAATCCATACTCCTGCAACCAGCCCTGCTTGCTTCTGGGGAAAATCTGGTGTCTGGAGTACTTATCCTTGTAAGAAAGAATCTGTAGCATTGGACCCCAACCAAACCAAATCTTTACAGACAAATCCATCTAATTATTTCTTGCTACAGGCCAGATTTGCCAAAGGGCTCGGGACCCATCTTTTCCCATTGCTGGTTTGGGGTAGGGATGCAAGAATATGGCTTTTTAAACAGGTAACCAACAAGCATGAGCTTATTAGTTATCCAAAAGGTTACATGCGGCTTCCACAGCAGGCAGGCGCTGGTACTCCTCGGGAGCCAGCTTCAAAGCCACCTTGTTCTGCTGCCTCTGATACAGCCAGCTGCTGCCCGCCTGTGACTGTGTAAATGCTGAAATTTCCAGCCGTTACATGGTTAGTCAATTATACACATTTAAACATCCCTAGTCTGGGGCGCTCCTAGGTACTTTCTCCACTTCCCAAAAATCAGGCCACATTATGTCATGGTCTGGGAGTCTTACATCTCAGGCAAGGTGAAGTGTGGAAAAGAAGCTATTTTAAGTGATACAGTTGCAAAAAGGTACTTGTATGCCAGTGTTCCCTGTAAACTGAGCACTTGTGCAGCCATTCAGGAGAGAGTCAAATGCTGCCCAGCTGATTAGCAGAGCACCCACAGTTAGTTTTTTTTGTTTCTTGTGGTGGTGCACATTCACACATACATTGGTGCATATATAAAAATGTATTCTGCACATGGATGGAAAAAATCCCCGTAGATGGGAAAGATTAGCTGGAACGTTGCTTGTACCTGCTTTAAATATATTCCTCCACCCTTGGCAGACTGAAATGTTAACAAACAGGACATGTGCTGAGAGCAAACCTAAGAGGATTCAGCCCCAAGGCTAACATTACTTTTCAAGTGAGTACTTTGAAAATAAAAACCCTTCCCCCCCTTTAAATAAAAAGTGACTCTTCCACTAAACCTCTAGCAAGGCTAGTCCAACCCTAATCATATGTAACGGGCGCTGACCTATTTACATTTCCCCCAATAACTCTTTTGTAAGTGGTAGTGCAACCGACACATCTACAGGGTGTGGTTCATTGTCCTACCTAGCAACAGTTAGACCACGTACAGAGAGAAAGGCGTTTGCTCTACAGCCTTAGCTGAGCGCCAGCTGACTTTCAGCTTAAGCAGTAGAGGCTCATACACTAAACTCCAGAGGTCCAAGGTTCGGTTCCACCTGTTGGTGTTAGTGATTTCTCCACATTTTCATCCTCTAGGCCAGATTCTCTGCTAGTGAAACCGCATCACTCCACTGGCGTGATACCACATTACGCTGGCTGAGAATATGGCCCCCAAAAGTCAAATTCTGCCCTAAACTGCTTGTGCAAAGCCCCAAGTATGTAGCTCAAAAGGCCCCCAAGCCAGAACGTACGTACATGTGTGTGTGTGTGAGAAATATGGCAGGGTTCACAATTTGTTCTCCTTTGGTGCCAGACCTCTGGCTTCAGAACTGATCTGGATCGGGAAACGTTGCCTCGTTCATCCTGCATGGCCGCTTGTAACCTACACTAACTCCTTATGCTACACAATCTGGTCCACCTTGTATTTAGCTGGGAACACCTTTTCCAGACCCAGACAAGAGCTTTGTATAGCTTGAAAGCTGCTCTCTCTCTCCTCCAGACATTGGCTCAGTAAAAGTGTCCCCTCACCCGCCTTGTTTCCCTTCTATTTCCATCAGGGATTTGGTGTGTTAGCCAGGAAGAGCCCTGTGCGATTCCATCCACTCGCAACTCTGCAATGAGGACTGTGAATGCAAAGGTTTGCCTAGAAACAAGTGATGCTCTATGAGTGGCCAATGGGTTTATTTCTAATGCCTGCTCTGATAAGGTAGCCCTGGCTGACTGCGTTATGTGGCTGGATTGGGGGGTGGGAAGACTTTGGTGGGGTATTTCCAAGCCTTGATATTCTGTAACTTTCACTTCCTAGTTTTTGTGCTTCGAGAAGGTTCAAAGGATCAGGATCTAGTTTCCTCTGTCTCATCAACTTAGAACCTGTGAAGAGCCCGGAGCGTCGCCAGTTGCGGAGCAGAACTCAGCTAGGGGGAAAGAGGCACCATGGAAGACGAAGACAGACGGGACCTGATCTCCAACCATGAGCAGCGGCCCGCTGAGGGCGTCACGGCCCCAGACTCTGGAGCACAGAGGTATCCCCCCTCGGTTTTCAACCCCCTTTTGTTTATCTTTCCTAGGGCAGGGGGAGATTGGCAGGGCTCTCGAAGCGGGAGAAGGAAAGGGGGCTCAGCTAACGGAGTGTACAGACCATCTAAATTTCGGTAGTGGAAAGCATGAGCCGATGGGGGAGTTCGGTGATTGACCTGACCAAACACCCAAGCAAGGCTTGAATGTTGGATTTCAATTTCCCTTCTCTCACCCGGACTCTGATCCGGGGTGGGGTTGGGGCTTGTTATCTTATTTTAACGCGTGGGAGAATACGGGGCTCTGATAGAAAGACCCACATTAGAGCCGAGCTGTGTGACCTCATGTGATGTCTGTGCAAGGCTCTTCCACCCCACTGAAGGAACTTTCTGCCAACAGGGGGGCTGGGGAAGCAGTTTGCCCCTTGTTTCTTGTCCCACGCTACACATCTGTCTAGGGAATCGTTGGCCCTATTTAGTAACCAAAGCCCGACATGGGACTCATGCAAAATCTCTTGAGTTCTTTTATACCTTTGGGTGGTGGCATTGGTACCTGGCTTGGTCCTGTCCCTCCTCATGCCGGGTCCCAGTTCGAATGCATTGTTTAGACATTAGAAGGGTGCCACGTACGCCTTCTCGTTGTTCGACCAGCATGTGCTTTAGACACCCGTGCAACAGGTTTGATCCCTCTGTGTGCGCACAGAGAACGGAGCCGTTGGCAGAACAGAGCTGTCCTGCAAATCAACCCGCAGCCAGGCTATCATTGTAATTCTGGGCCTTTGTTCAGTGTTCTCAAGGGTGTTGAATCAAGCACGGATCTAGGTGCGTAGGATCCCGGAGCTTGGGCGATGCAGCTTTATTTTGGGCCCCACCTTCCGCTGGGTGTGCCGCTGACGCTGCTGTTTGATACCCAATGTTTCTGGATTTGCACCAGTGGATAGAGCCCTAGTGGAAAGGCTTGGAGCCGAAAGGGCTTCCTCTGGTTTTTCTAAAAACGCTGCATTTGTGCAAATCACAAGTCGCCCTCCCCTGAGCACTGGGAAATGCAACACTGGGCCGCAGCCAACCGGTCACCCATGCCAGACTCAACGGCCACAGCCAATGAGAAATCAGATGTCTTATGACATCAGGAGTTGCTAGGCAGGATGGATTACAGGACAGTCAGAACAGTAACACAGGGATGAAAGGAACCTGCTTGACCAGGTCTGGACGGGCACCAGGCTGGATTTTCTTTTATGTCGCTGCCTGTCGGTGCTATTGCAGCCACAGGGGGAGTGCACCCATAAATCACGTGTTCTCCAAGGGACGGGCCTGATCCTGCAAGCCCTGGCTTCTTGGAGTAGCCCTTACTCACGGGAGTCGTTCCACTGACACCAATGGGGCTGCTGGGGGAGCGTTTTCAGGGCCTGCTCCCACGGACACAAAGCTTCTTGGAATATTTGTGCTTTTGCTTTTATTCCGTGTTGCCCATCAGCTGTTGGCAAGTCTTGCTGTCTTGTTAGTGAATGAGGGTCACTCTAGCCCCCCCTCGGATCGATCCTGCTGCTTGTGTGAAACGCCCCTCCCCCCTCCTTCCACCATCTGCTAAGACTGAAAGGTGGGTCCAAAAAAAAAGCTGGTTGCAGGCGGTGGAGCTTCTTTCTAACAGGTCAGCTGGTGGGTGACCTCGTCAGTTGCACAGTAGAAATGTGATTTGGGCGTCAATCGAAAGCTGCTTCCGTACGGATTGCGGAAGAACTCTGCACTGAGCAGGTTGAACTCTGGGCAGATTCTGTCCCTTCCAGCTCCACGCACACCAGGCCTGCTGTGTTCAGTGGGAATTGGGCAAGCGTCGCTAAGGCCAGCCCCTGGCGTTTTGCAATGTGACACTGCTCTTCTGGAGTGCAGCGTGCTCCCTGCTGGGGTGCTCTTGTTTCTAGCACCGCTGTTTAGTCTCCTAATTTATTTCCTTGGACAGAGAACGCAGACTTCCTCCATATGTGCAAATTTCACCGGGGAGAAAAAAGCAAATAGGAATGTGTATAAAAGCAGGTCGGACTTTTTATAAGAGGGCTATTTTGTTAGGCTTTTTCAAAAATGTGCGTCAAGTTTAGGCTAATAAAACGGTGTGTGAAAGGAACTCACAAAAGAACTATAATCAGTAAATCTATGTGGTATGGCAGACAAAACAAAAGGAAAAAGGAGAGATGAATACAATGTAAAAAGAGGTGTAGCAGTGGGATTATGGTACTTTATCCATTACCCTAAAATAGGAATGGTCTGTATATACAATCAGATAGTGCTTTATCACCCAGTAATCTCTATAGTCCTTTGTCCTCGTGAACAAAGCTGTTCCCATTATTCAGGGGTCGCACTTACTTCTGTTAAATTTTGAATCTGATTTTCTAGGGTCTTCAAATGAAACATACATTTTCAGTTGTAATGCTTGACACATCTTCTCGCTCTTAAGCAGTCCATATACAATGAACGTACTTTGGGAACAAAAGGGGCAGGAACGTGGCCAGTTTTCTCCAGGCCTCCAGGGCCAACATTATCTGGATTTTCTAATGCCGCTAGGAGGGTGGGGAAGCCCTGGGATGGGTTACCTAGGAAGGTGGTGGAATCTCCATCCCTAGAGGTTTTGAAGCCCTGGCTGGGATGATTTAGGTGGGGTTGGTCCTGCTTTGTGTAGAGGGTTGGCCTAGTTGACCTCCTGAGTTCTCTTCCAGCCCTAGGATTCTATTATTCTAAATTGTGGATTCTACCTATAGATGTGATCCAGTACCTGCTGGAATCAATGGGAGTTTACCCATTACTGTCAGCTGGCATTGGATCATACCCTAAACCCATGGTCACCAACCAGTAGATCGCGATCTACCTGTAGATCTCGGAGGCTCTAAGAGTAGCTCTTGAGCCCTCTCTGAACTGCGCGCCTGCGCAGTACATTTACATTAGATTTCCTCATTTGAGGAGCAGTTACTCACCGAGCAACAGCACAGGAATGGTGGGATTTTTTTTTAAAGTAGCAGTATAAGGATTGGGGATAGCAAGTGATGGAGAGGAGGAGAAGAGAGAGGGCGGGGCTTTAAGGAAGGGGCGGGGCGGTAGATCTTGGCTTGGTCTGTCATTTAAAAAGTGATCTTGGGTGTAAAAAGGTTGGAGATCACTGCCCTAAACTGAGAGACTGTGGCAAATACATAGGCGAAAGGCATTTGACAATTGTGTATCCTAAACCAATGGGCTCACAAAGATCCCATGTAGTGCTCCTGAACCTCTTCCCCCTCTACTCCATGTGGCCTTTCTGCAGTGTTCTCTTCAGTCCTAGATGCTCGATATTATTTTCTCCAGTGACCATCCGTCTGCACTCCTACCCCAATAAGTGTGTGCGCACACACACACACACACACACACACGCGCGTGCGCACTCCCCACCTTTCAGAAAACTGTTTCGCTTCCCCTGCCTGGTCCCGCATGGAAAGCGGAGCCCTTGGCTCTGGCTTGTCCCTGCCCCATGATGAATGACGACAGAGAGATCTTTCGGTCTGTGAAATCGCCTCCCAGGGAAAGTCTCGGAACTTCCTGCACTCCGAGCTGGGGCGATGTACTGGAAATGTAGCTGCTCTGTCCAGTCTCACCCAAGTCTCCCTGGCTGCAGGGTGGGAAGGCACCGGAGCAGCAGAACACATTGGAAAGTTTACGGAGAACAGTCGTTTTAGAGCCAAAAAAAATTGCCAAAACAAAACCCTCCACTACAAATGCAGGAGGCCCATCTCTTCCTGGGTAGAACAAACTCTCACGCTCTGCTGAGCACTGCTGCAAGGTGTTCCGCTATGAGGGTGGTGGAAGAGCCCCTGGAGAATCTGTGGGTGGCCGATGCCAGCAGCTGCGACTCGTCTTTGCCGTGCTCTAGCCTCCTTCTGTCTTGTGTCTTGCAGGAATTACTGCAGCCGGGGAGCCGTTTATTCTGCTGCCTCCATCCTGGTGGCCCTGCTGATCGCTGGCCAGGCTGTCACTGTCTACTTTGTGTATCAGCAGAGTGGCCAGATCAGCAAACTGACCAGGACCTCCCAGAATCTGCAGCTGGAGTCCCTGAGCCGGAAACTCCCCCAAAGTGAGTAGTTCCCCAGCCTGACTGCACTGTACAACCCAGGTCTAGGCCAGTTGGGTGACGTGCTGGCTGGACTTCACCATGCCAGAGCGCCCCCAACTCTCTTGGCTGGGGGAGATGAAGTGCTCCAGAGAGAGGGAGGAAAGGTTTCTGGAGAGCTCCTGAAATCCTGCTCCCCTCCTGGAGATGGCAGTTTCTGTGCCGTCTTACCCTACCGTGACGCTTCATGTTTCCTTCATGGTTTGGAACAGCTGCCATATGAGGCGAGATTAAAAAGACGGGGACGTTTCAGCTTAGAAGAGAGGAGACTAAGGGGGATATGATAGAGGTCTATAAAATTAAGACTGGTGTGGAGAAAGCGAGTAAGGAAAAGTTATTTACTTGTTCTCATAACACAAGAACTAGGGGTCACCAAATGAAATTAATAGGTAGCAGGTTTAACACAAACAAAAGGAAGATTTTCTTCACCCAGGGCAAAGTCAACCTGTGGAACTCCTTGCCAGAGGATGGTGTGAAGGCCAGGACTTTAACAAGATTATAAAAAGAGCTAGATAAATGCATGATGGTTATGGCTATGAGCCAGGATGGGTACGGATGGGGTCCCTAGCCTCTGTTTGTCAGAAGAGTGACAGGGGAGGGGTCCCTGTTCTGTTCATTCCTTTTGGGGGCACCTGGCATTGGCCACTGGTGGCAGACAGGAGACTGGGTTAGAAGGACCTTTGGTCTGACTCAGCATGGCTGCTCTTATCCTCTTCCTTGTCACCGAGCTGTGGAGAAGGGGAAGTGAAGCTTGCGCTGACGATAGCTTTGATCAGATTGGAGGCCATACAAGCCCCGTTTGTCCTGTCGCTCAGCTGCATGTAGCAGGAGGGGGCGCTGTTCCTGCCTGTCATGCTGGAGCTCTGGGAGGGACTGGCTGCAACACCAGGAACCATTGATCACCTCTGCCCCAAACGCCAGGTGCTGGGAAACTGGCTGGCTTCTTCCCAGGGCTGGCTGGAGCACTGGCCACAGGGTCAGTGGCTCATGGGAGGTCTACGCTGGCGTGATAGTGTCTCCCAGCCTGGGGGGACAGACTCCTGCAAGCTCTGCTGGACGTTGTGTTAAAAGGAGCAGCACAGGGACAGCGCAGAAGGAGGGGGGTGGGTGTCTTGGGCTGTTTCCCATGCCACTGCATGGTATTTATCACACGCTCGCCCGCATCTCCCCAGGCTGGTGCCTAGACCTAGCCCACTAGGCCTGGGCCGTCTCTAGGGGCTGAGCTACACCTCTGGGACCCTCATGCTGATTCGACTCACGCTCACGGAGACACTGACCCCTGAAAGGACGTCGGGGGCCCTCCTCTCCTCTCGGTTTGATATCACCCTTTCCTCTGCAGGTGCCAAGCCCGTCTCCAAGCTGAGGATGGCCAAGTTCAGCATGCCCATGGTCATGCGGGAGCTGCCGCTCGCCCCGAAGGTGGACATGACGGTAAGGGATGTTCCCTGGGGCCCTCCGCCTGCCACTTTGCCAGCTGCTCTGGCAGCAGTTTGGCAGCGCCTTGGGGAACATGATTGTGTGGTTCCTTCCGAGCCTCGTGCCAGAGCTGCTCTGTGGCCAGCAGCCCCGGCCATCCTGGCTCTGATACCTCAGCCACGTCCACTCGTCAGCGACAGCTGGGGCGTCTCTCCAATGCCTGGGTCTCCTGTGGCTGGTTCCCGTGCCCCAGCTCCTAGGGATGACATGCTGCCGGAACCCGCCCATGAGGACTGGATGGGGACCGCCATCTCCGAACTGTTGCGTTCACACCAGTGCCGGAGGGGTGGATGTGCTGGGTCCCACCCCTCAGGGTATTCCCCAGAACAAGAGGCAGGGGCTTGGCTCTTTCTCCAGAGTTTGCTGCTCTTTGGCTGGAGCGGGTGAGAAAGGGCTGGGAAAGTGGAGCCACTGGAGGTGGCCAGCATGGTGTTTTCCCAGGCTCCGCTGCTCTTCCGTGTGCCGTAGCTAGGACTGTGCGGAGAGCCCAGGCATTGAGAGAGGTTTCCCTTCCTGGTGGGGTCCAGGAATTAGCCTGGGCCATGGTGACGAAGTTCTGCTGAAGGTTCCTGTGGTGCAGCATCCACCCTCACCAGCCTGGCTCCCGGGTAGCCAAGTGACTCCGTGTCTGCCAAAAGAGCCCCCAGGACTGGCCACACCTGCTCCAGCTAAAGACCATCTGAGTTTAGTCTCTGGCTCTTCAGCGCCTCATCCTGACCATCCCAACTGCACTTCTGTCCCCTCTCTAGCCCCTGGAGGACACAGCGAAGCTCAGCAATAAAACAGAGGATCAAGTCAAACACCTGCTGCTGGTAAGACCCTCCTCTGTCACACACGTGTCGGTAACACCTGGGTGAGAGTCGGGCACAAAAGTCCTTTCAGCCCCGTTAGCCTGTTGGTTCTCTCGTGTGAGAGAGAGAGAGAGACTGGTGGCTCCACCTTTCCTTGTTCCCTGGGAACAGGCATGAGCTGCGACAGGGGAGTTGTCTCTGGCTCCTGGCTGTCGGCCTGCTGCTAATGCTGTCCTTTTCCATTTGGCCCCCCTGCAGCGGGCAGACCCTAGCAAGATGTTTCCTGAGTTAAAGGATAGCCTGATGGAGAATCTGAACCGCCTGAAGAACACCATGACGGACCAGGACTGGCAGGTCAGTGCCCTGCCAGGTCAGCTGGCTAGCAGACTGACTGCAGCTCCATCTGCTCCTTTGCACCCTGACCCGTTCCCGGGAACGGCCTGAATTGGGCTGGTGACGGAATGGGGGAGGGGGTCTCTTGTGGGGAGGACAGGCCGTATTCCCTGGGAAATCACAGCCTGCAGCCGGCCTCTTGCATGGTTACATTCGTAGAGCCCTAGAACTGGAAGGGACCTCGAGAGGTCATCAAGTCCAGCCTCCTGGTCTGAAGGCAGGACTCAAGCCCCATCCAGACATTCTCACTGCTGCTTGGGAGGCCGGGGGTTGACAAGGGACCGCAGCTTTCCCGCTCGTGGCTTTGGGCTGCAGACATGAGAGCACAACAGCGAGGAGGGCTCCAGTGTCACCCTGATTAAATGGGGGAAGAGGGGCTGTGACTATTGTCTGGAGCAGTTGTTTTTGTGAGGGGCCGGTTCCTAACAGCACCTTTTTCCCCTTGGTCTCTTGCAGTCGTTTGAATCCTGGATGCACAAGTGGCTGCTGTTTGAAATGGCCAAAAAACCCCAAACTCAGGAACCTGCCGAGATACCAGCAAATGAAGGTATCAGAGTTATGGGGCAGCAAACTCCTCTAGGGTTAGGAACGGTCCTCAGGCAGCAACGGCAACCCAGGGGAGTGCTGGTCAGAGGGCAGTGGAAGCACGTACCCATTGGAACGGTTTTGCTTTTTGGTAGCTAGGGGTGTTGTTCCCCAGAGTCATAGAATCCTAGAACACTACAACTGGAAGGGACCTTGTGAGGTCATTGAATCCAGTCCCCTGCCCTCACGGCAGAACCAAGCACCGTCTAGATCATCCCTGACAGATGTCTGTCTAACCTGCTCTTCAATATCTCCAGTGATGGGGATTCCACAACCTCCCTAGGCAATTGAGTCCAGTGTTTAACCACCCTGACAGGTAGGAAGTTTTTCCTAATGTCCAACCTAAAGCTTCCTTACTGCAATTTAAGCCCAGTGCTGCTTGTCCTATCCTCTGAAGTTACGTCTACACTACGGCTGCATCTAGACTGGCAAGTTTTTCTGCAAAAGCATTTGCTTTTGCGCAAAAAGTTGCCAGCTGTCTAAGCTGGCTGCTTGAATTTGCGCAAGAAAACTGATGATCTCATGTAAGATTGTCCGTGTTCTTGCGCAAATACTATGCTGCTCCCGTTGCGGCAAAAGCCCTCTTTTATGTATTTGCGCAAGAGGGCCAGTGTAGACAACGCGGTATTGTTTTGCGCAAAAAAGCCCCGATTGCAAAAGTGGCCACGTCTAGATTGGCACGGACGCTTTTCCGCTAACAGTGCTTTTGCGCAAAAGCGTCTGTGCCAATCTAGATGCTCTTTTCCGCAAAGGCTTTTAATGGAAAAACGTTTCCGTTAAAAGCATTTGTGGAAAATCATGCCAGTCTAGACGTAGCCTACGAGTTCTCAGCCAAAAATATGCTAATAAGGGACTCATTTGCATGAGTTGTGATCTCATTTGCATATTTTCTACCGATCTGTTTTTGCACTAGGGGTTTTTGCACAAAAACAAGCAGTGTGGATGTTTTCTTTTTGCGCAAAACCCCCTTATTCTGCAAGATTGGTATACGCTGGGGCATAAAGGTCTTGCGGAAAAATTTGCTTTGAAATATTTCATTAGTGTGTTGCTGAAGAGGATAAAATCACAGCTTTAGAAAAACGTCGTCTCCCCCCCGGCTGCCATTGGGCATAAGGGCACAAGTTTAACAGTCCTGAGCAGCACCCCTTAAATTCTAAGGCTGGTCCTACTTCTGCGCTCACCCAGACAAGATATTGGATTGCCCGAATAGCTGCAGAATGTTGATAAGACCCCAGCAAGGGCCAGAGGGGGGGAGGAATAAAATATACTCACCGGTGTTTCCTGTGCTTGTTGCTTTAGTGCAATCTAAGTGCCAGGCGGAGTCCAGTTTTGGTGGTGTTCACCCGGGTCAGTTCCGCCCGCAGTGTGACGAGCATGGCGACTACCTTCCCAAGCAGTGCCATGCCAGCACTGGGTACTGTTGGTGCGTCTACAAAAACGGCACCAAGATCGAAGGCACTGAGACCCGTGAAAAGCTGGACTGCCCTGGTAGGAACTAACTTCCCATTGGCCAGTCTGGGGAAGGGGATAGATGCACGCGTGCACAGAGGCGCTCCCGGCGGTTTCCTGTGTTTTAGCTCAGCGACACCTATGCGCAGTGCGCGTTGTGTCGTCAAAGGGCTGTTAGTCTGGCTCGTAAAAAACGATTCTGGGAAAAAGTTGAACGCACCCTTGAGCATTCCTGGGGAAACGGGGTTCAGAGCACTGCTGGGCGCCTGTTGTTGCACTGGTCCTGATCCTGAGACCTCCTGAGCTAGTTCCATGGCCATGGAAGTCAATGGACCTGGTTTTAGAGCACCTGCAACTCCAGATGACACCACGGAGAATTGCGACTCCCCAGCAACTGGCCATGGGGGAGTTGAGGGTGTTCAGGACCTGGCGGGATCAGACACTCGGTCATCGATGGGAAGAATCCAGATAACACAATAGGAAATGTGGCCTCTTAGGAGCACGTATAAGGTGGAGGATCATAGAGGAGGGCAAGTGCTAAGAGGGAGAGACTGAGCTGCCAGTGTCTGCACAGAGCTGGCGGAAGCTTGGGCACTGTCCTCTTTGCTGGGCCACTTGGTATGCTCACTATCCCGTATCATGGGCGACTGTCGAGTCCCTACTCCTGGGCACCTTTCTGTTGCCACCCTCTTTTCTGAATGGAGCTCTTTGAAAATATATGAGGAGAAACTTCAGCCCTTGTTGGCAGGCCCAGACTTAGGGCAAGGCGAGTAAGGTGGTGTCCTTGGGACTTGCACCTTCAGGGCTGCACCTGCCCGGCTGCTCGCTCGCTGCCCTGGCTGGGAGCCACCCGTCCACACGGACTGCGTGACATGGTGCAGTCAGCCACAACATGCTGCCTAGGGCCTGCTAGTTGGCTTAGTCCCAGCAGGTCCCCGTGTGTTGAGGTCCCAGAGGACTAGTACAGCAGGATTCTCCCAGCTGTGTCCAGGCTCCAGTTTGGGCCCAGCGCCCCACAGAACCTTGCCTGAGGAAATGAAGGGTCCTTTATCTCAGCGGCTGGGGGAAGCTAGCCATGAATGCCTGAGTCCCCTTTTCATCCGCCTGCGGGGCGTTGCTGCGGAAGGTGGGCCCCGACAGCATGGCAGAGAGAGAGAACTGAGGTGTCTAAAGCTCAGGGATGAAGAGGAAAAGCAGCGCTCACGCTTCAGTGTTTGGGGCGGGTTAGAACGGACACAGGCCTGTAATGATGCGGGCAAATATTGGTGTGAGGAGGAGGAGGAGGTGGCCTGGGCTGGCACGAAGCGTGTTGGGAGCCGGGAGGGCTGGGCCTGTCCGAAGCGCGCTACCAAACGCCGACTCTTGCTGTGTCTTGCTGCAGCGACTCCGGGCGGTTTGGATGCAGAGGAGCTGATGTACTCGGGGGTGGATCTGCTGAAGCTGGATTCTGACAAAGGCAAGAAGCGGAGCCAGGCGTGGGCTGGGGCAAAGCTGACAGGAGATGGGGAGGGTTGGCCAGAAGGTGCCAGCAAGTCTCCTGGATCAGGCCCAGCGGCTGGGTGACACAAGGCCAGGTGGCATAGGGATGATCATGAATAAGCATTGGTGGTGAAGGAAGGACCTTTGCGGTCTGGGCTATCACAGTGTTTTGGTGCATCGCCTCCCCCCTCAGACTGGTGGGATAAGAGATGCCCTGACGGAAAGGTGGTGGGGCAGGTTCCATCGACAGCTTTGAGGAGCAGTGGGCGCTGTCCGGGGTTCTCTGCTCGGTGTCCCCATCCGGCTCCCTAGTTATGAACCTTTAGCCTGCACGCCTTGCCCCTTTGGTCATTAGTTGTCCCCAGTAATTGATTGGACACGGGTCCAGTCGTCCCTCCCACAAGGCTGGGGGAGGGGCTTTTAGAAAGTGGGCGGGCAAAGCCCGCCCACTCTCCCGTGCTTCAAATAGACCCACGTGGTCTAGGGGATAGGGCAGTCACCTGGGGAGGATAGGGTCATGGGTTCAATGAAGGACACCAAGACAATAGGAGCCCGCTACCTGAACGGGAGCTCCCTCTTCCAAAAGAAGCGTGTGCTTTGTCCCCCTGGGCTCTGAAGTGCAGCATCCCAGTGGTAAATCCACCCGGCTGTCACACCTGATTGTGCAGGGCTGGGGGCAATGTAGATTGAGACAGGGGGATTGTGGTGAGGTCTGGCTCTCCCACAAGTGGGGAGGCAAAGGCCTTTGCGCTCCCCGGCCACCTACCCAATGGAGTAGGAGCAGCCAGGAAGAGCCCTGTTTAGATTTTTGTTTTCTTGCTGCGGGGCGGGTGCTTTAAGGCTGGCACCAGCACACACATCCAGGTGTACAGATTCTGGGTAGGAGTGACATGGAGTCCTCCCCAGTCCCATCACTACTGCCAGTCTGGTGGGGATGGCCTTTGTATTGGCCTCCCTGTGGAAGTGATGGGAGCAAAGAAGTAACTGGCTTCAAAGTAACCCCTCCAGGAGCAGGGAGTATCACTGCCTGGGTTCAGCTCGATCTCATTTCCTCCCTCTTTTCTCTCTCTCCTAGAAGCCAAGTAGAAGAGGACTCACAGGCCCGGCGTCTTCTTTCTCCACCTCCAGCCTGCAGAGTCGCCAGGCGCCGCCTTGCTCTGTTTCACTCGTGCTTTGATATTGCTTCCCTGAATTACGGCCACCGCGGCTAGTCAAGCGTTTGCTATGCATCGTCTTAGCGGGCGATTCAATTGGGTAGATGATATACTTTTGTCTGCCTGACCCAGTGCCTCTCCCTATGCTAAGATGTGCTGCAGAAAGCCCGCTGAATATTAGGAGGAGTTTTGGTAGAGAAAGGATGCAAAGGCCCTCCCCACACCAAAGGCAGACAAACTGTATAAAATTCTTAGTGCTTTCTCCACTAATCAGAACACAGTAGTAGCTGCATGTAAAACCACAGGGCTACGTCTAGACTGGCATGATTTTCCACAAATGCTTTTAACAGAAAAGTTTTCCATTAAAAGCATTTGCGGAAAAGAGCGTCTAGATTGGCACAGATGCTTTTCCGCAAAAGCACTTTTTGCAGAAAAGCGTCTGTGCCAATCTAGACGTGCTTTTCACGATCAGAGCTTTTTTGCGCAAAACAAACCTGAGCTGTCTACACTGGCCCTTTTGCACAAAAGGGACTTTTGCCTGAACGGGAGCAGCATAGTACTTCCACAAGAAGCACTGATTTCAGACAGTAGGAAGTCAGTGTTCTTGCAGAAATTCAAGTGGCCAGTGTAGACAGCTGGCACGTTTTTCCGCAAAAGCAGCTGATTTTGCGGAAAAACTTGCCAGTCCAGATGCAGCCCAGGTGTCTGAATAGAGATGGGGTTTGTTCAGTACCTGTAACATAAGCATTGTCCAATGGGAAAAGGGGATCCAAGCACAACATATGGACAACTAATTGAATTATCTCCATTTAGATATTCCGGACACAATCCTTCCCCTTCCTCCCCCATGGGGGTGTAACTCCATTGACTTCAGTGGAATTATTTCTGATTTACACCAGCATACAGGAGGAGACTTGGGCCCTCTGTTTGCTTATAAATGGCTTCGAGGTTCTCAAAAGTAGTTCTCCAACCACGGTCTATTGGACCAGCCATCAGTGCACACTTGATCCTCGTGCACATGTGGGAGGAAGTAGGGATGTCTACAAGGTTGCACGTGCCTCTGTGCTGAATAACACTGGCACATGGTTCCGTGTAGCGTACGTGCAACCGCCAAATTTACTGCCCCTCTTAAGCAACTTTTAAACAGAAATGCTGAAAAGTAACAGACGTCGCCTTTCTCCCTTCCTAAAGGGCTCTGCTGTTGCAGGTCGTGTCCCACTCTATGAAGCACGGGCTACTCCAGATTAGCTTCCCCAAACCACCCTGATTGCTCGAGCAGTGCTTTAGGCTTCATCACAGCATTTAGAAATCTTTCCTAGTTTGAGAACCAGGCTAGCAGCTGGCTTCGAAGCACCTCTTAGTATCTGGGAGTAGTGGGGAAAAATCCAAGCAGGAAGGCTGTAGGCAAGGTTAGATATCACTCATGCGAATAGGCCAATGGCTTCTCTTTACACAGAGACATTAAGTGCAGCAGCAATGAATTCTGATCTTCCTCACCAAATTAAACAGAGGGACATTAGAATAGGAAAGGAATGCAGGCTTCCTTTAACAAATAGGCAAATACATTTGTATGGCTGTGTTTCCCCATCCCCTGCTAACTCCTGGTGTTTGGTTGGATCTTTGTTTAACAGGTAACAGTAGCTAATCTTGGGACTAGAATTCTGTGTATTCAATGCAGCGTAACCAAGCTCACACGGCTGGTGATTTCAATTAAACTCTTGACTTATAAGGATTGCTACTAAAAACAGTTTCACACGTGCTTCTCTGACAGTTCAGGATTGGGAGAAAGTAGCTGGCGAATCAGAGGTTATTCAATGTAAGTCTCTAGCAAGTGTCTCTGTTCTACTGCCTCGGTGGGCGTGTGTGTATATCTACCCTCTACCTTCCACAGCCTCCTAGCCCCAGTGACTATGGGCTTCTACTCGGAGCATCATCTCTGCTCCACCACACCTGGGTGGGGAGGCCCTGCCTCCTGCCCATCCTCACAGCAGGCCAGTCATGGCGTTTCTTACCTGATCAGGCTGAGGCCCCATCTCCCCACAGCTCAACATCCCTGGGGGCAGAGCAGCACTGATCAAGCCCCCCCTGTATGTTCGCCTCAGGTACCAGCTCTCTGACGTGGGCGGCTGGAACATCTCCAAGCCTTCAGCCACCACACAGAGGGGAGAAGGCCTCAGGGCCGGGACCTACCTCTGCCACGGCCTTGTGGAGATCCTTTTCCAGCTCCGTCCTTGACTCCTGCCGCCACATCTGCCTAGTCACTGCTGCTCCCTCCTGCCTGGGCCGGCTCCTTTTCTTCAGCTCTTAGAACAGGGGTGGGGAACCTTTCTTGGGTCAGGGGCTGCTGACCCACAGAAAAATCAGTCAGAAGGGGCCTCAAGTGAGAAGAACCCCCCCCCCATTCACTGATGTGGCCCCTGACTGGGGAGGAGGAGGGGGGAAGAGAGGACTCAGCATTCCCCATGCACACCAGAGCCTCAGGGGGCCCTGGCTAGATTTTGTGTGCTCCAGCGCCATGGGCACTTGTGCCCTGAGCCTTAGGGTCTGGAAGCAGGCAAGCCAGGGTTGCATCCAGGCCTTGGGCCTGAGGCTCCCCACCCCCGTTTTAAAGACACCTGGGATGCCTGTGGAGCCAATTAAATGTAACTGCCCAGGCCTGTGAAGCGTTCTCACTCCAATTAGTAAAATGAGGGCAGCTGGCGCCAGGCAATGGCCGAAGAGTTTGTGGAGCAGCGCTATCACTGTGGGGAGAAATCTGTGGGCAAAGGGGCAGCCCCATCCACAGTTCCTATGGCAAAGGACAAGCGTGGCTGGTCTGAGCCTGTCTGGGTGTCCTGTTCCCCAGCCCCAGGAATGGCAGACTGGTCTCTCCCGTCAGGTAAAACACACAAGGCCAGCAGCTCTTTGTACCCCATACCAGGGACTGCCCCGCCAGGACGGCTGGAAGGGCTCAGCTCCATCCCCCTCCGACAGTGAAATACTGGAGGCCCCACAGCCCTGTCCTTCCAAGGCAGATGGGGGGTTATCAACCATCAAGCCTCACCTCCATGTGCTGGTCACGCTTTGCTGTAGGGCCTGCTACACAGGGCTGGCCTTACCCTGAGACAAACTAAGGTGGCCACCTCAGGTGCCAGACTGGGGGGGGGGAGGGAGGGGGGACAGACCCCACTAGGATCCAGAGTGTAGAAAATTATGTCTGCTGCTGGTGCAGGTGTATTCTCTCTGCTCTAGACGCACAGGGATGGGGGAGTGCTGTGCTGGAGGAAGGAGGGCACGAGAGATATAACAGGCAGGCAGGAGAAAACGGGGCATGGGGGAGTCATTTGAGCTCCCCACCTCAGGTGCCAAAATGTCATGGCCTGGCCCTGCTGCTGCAGGAAGCAAGCGCACTGTGAAGTTTACTCACATGGGCCCTCCGGACCTACCCACAGCCCCATGCGCATTAGCTTAGGCCTAGCTCGGCAGGCCCAGGGGGGAGCGGCAGTCTAGAGCACACCCGAGCTGACACACACACAGGCTGGGATCGGCGTTTGCACGTTCACCCACGGAACTGCCTGCCTGACCCAGTACCTCAGACCCCTCCCTCCCTCCCGTTGTCAAGAGGAGGGTCATTTCTGGGCACCCCTTTTCATCCCAGCCCCTGCTCAGCAAAGAGCAGCTTTTGTAATCCCTGCCCGCTCCAGCTCCCATCAAGTCTCGCCCCAGCCTTGTTCTCTGGGGCAGCTGAGTAGCACTATTTATACCCCCCTCCCCCCGCACAGCAGAGGGGCTAGGGCTCCTACAAGGCCTGGTCAGCAGGATGATCCCTCCCTGACCATTCCTACAGGCCTAACAGAACAGGCCTCACTCAGCTCCTTCGTCACCTCTGCCCATCCCGCCTGAGCTCTTATCCTCACAAGAGCGGAGAGGCACATGCTTACCTCAGGCTAAGAGCCAGAGACAAGGCTGCAGCCATGGCAGCAGGGGGAGGGGAAGGAAGAAAGGCTTGTCATTAACTGGACATGCCAGCTTGTGTATCCTGGCACGGTCACAGGAGGTAAGAAAGGCCCAGTGTCCCACTGAGACCAAGGCCTCGGCATCGATCAGCCAGACCAAAGGACCTGAACTGAAGATACTTCCTCTCCCCCCCGCACCCTCAGCAGAGCTGCCCCGGCTTTGAACTTCCAGTGAAGAACTCCAGCTTCCATCCAAGGAGAAGCCCCATCCACACAGCTGTCCGGAGGGGCTTAAACTCACTTGCTCTCCCCTTGAAGAGCATTGCCCTTGCCGTAGTCCACCCAGGAACACACATCTGCTCAAAATCAATTTTATTTCTGCATTCCCTCAAAACGAGGAACCCCAGAGCACAGCCTCGGCCTTGCCCGCACCCTGGCCGACTAGAGGCGCCGCAGGGACAGTGCATGTAATACCCATAGACCCTGGTTGTAAAGTTATGTTAGAAAGTGACCCCCAGAGCGGCTAGGTAGGTAGCAAAAAGACAGACACCGCGCTCCCACAAAGACTGGAAGTTTCTCTTAAAAAATATAGCTCTGGCGAGAGATTGCTGCATCTCACTTCTAAGAGGGGACAAGTCACGCTGCAGGAGTCTGCTTCGTATCCCTTCCACCCACAGGGCTGCTCCATTTCCTGTTCCGGTTGCCTCCCAGCTGGTTACAAAGTGCAAAGGCTGGGGGGCCGTTCGGGGAGCAACACACCGTGGTGGACGAAGCAGCAAAGTGCAACGGGGTGGGGGGGAGTAGGGCTCTAAAAGTCGCAGTTAAAAGAAGTTATAAATTAAGATGTAGAAGTATTGTTTTCCTTTTTTTAAAAAAAATAAAGTTTGAAGCCATCCTCTGCTGAGCTTCTTCCCCATTCGTTTGCTGTCAGCAGTCGAAGGAGGCGCTCTAGAGGGGAAAGAAAAGATTTGTTAACAGAACAGCCAGCCTGGGTCAGACTGAAGGTTCATCTAACTCAGGGTCTTGTCTGCTGACAGTGGCCAATAGCAGGGGTCCCAGAGGGAGTGAATGGACCCAGGGAAGTTTGAAGCCATCCTCTGCTGAGCTTCTTCCCCATTCGTTTGCTGTCAGCAGTCGAAGGAGGCGCTCTAGAGGGGAAAGAAAAGATTTGTTAACAGAACAGCCAGCCTGGGTCAGACTGAAGGTTCATCTAACTCAGGGTCTTGTCTGCTGACAGTGGCCAATAGCAGGGGTCCCAGAGGGAGTGAATGGACCCAGGGAATCATCACTTGCCCCGCTCTTTCAACACATCCTGGCTAACAGCCGTGGATGGACCCATAGGCTATGTCTACTCACGGCTTCTTGAGTAAGTAATATGCAAATGAGGCTAAGCATAGAATATTGCTGAGCCTCATTTGCATACCAAATGAGCCACCATTTTTTTCCAGGAGAGGCTCTTGCTCAAGGAGGAGCATCTACACTGCCCCTTCTTGTGCAAGAAAAACCCTCTTGCGCAATGCCGTTCTTCCTGAAAAGTAATAGGTGTCACGGCATTGCACAAGAGGGTTTTTCTTGTGCAAGAAGGGGCAGTGTAGACGCTCCTTCTTGCACAAGAGCTTCTTCCGAAAAAAAATAGTGGCTCATTAGGTATGCAAATGAGGCTCAGCAATATGCCACGCTTAGCCTCATTTGCATATTACTCATGCAAGAAGCCGTGAGTGTAGACATAGCCATACTCTTATGAATTTATCTAGCTCTTTTGAACCCTCTGAAAGGAATCCCAGCTGTGCAGAAATCTTGGGAGCACAGATCAAGGGTGCTCCTGGCCCTTGCAGCGGGTGCAGGGAGGGACCCAGAATATAGACTCTGGCACTGCCAGCGCTTGGGGGAGGTGCAATTTTGGCTGACACCGGAGCCAGCTCGCTGCTGCTGAGGGAAGCTCCGCCCTGCTAGCAAATCTGGGCCCTTGGATTGGCTGGCTGGCCCATTTGCCTACCTCCTGAGCAGACAAGCCTATCAGAGTGATTCAGTGTGGGAGAGTTGGCTTGCTCTGACCAAGGGAGGAGCTACAGAGCCCAGCAGCTCAGTGTGACTCCGCCCCCTTTTCTAGGGCCAGGCCAGCCTCAGAACTTCTCCCCCACCCCAGAACCAGGCCCAGGAGACATGGGGGAAAAACAGCTCAACAATCAAACGATGCCCCAATAGCCCCCGCAATATAGGAAACCCCCCCAAACACACCCATCACCACCTCCAGCCCCTGGCTTTCGAGCTCTGGCGGCAGGCAGCATGCACCCAGAGCGGCATTTATTGCCCAGCGTGTCTGGGTGACCATTCTTGGGCCAGCGGTTAGACACAGCCACGCTCGCTTCATTTCCCACCACTGCTGCTGCTCTTAGAAACCAAAGCTGGTTTTTTGGGGGAGGAGGGGGGTAGAATTTCCCACTGTCGCGCTGGGAGCACAGCCCCAGAGGTGAGTCCTGCACAGCCAGATCTCCAGAGAAGTGACAGGGCATCGCAAGCCGCCCTGTCACTAGGACTGTGCTCCATGGATCCGCTTCTCCGAGCCATGCCCCATGGTGACCCATTCCCAGTGAGAAAACCAAGTGCGCACATGAGAAGTGGTCCCATCTCGCTCTCCTCCCACCAAAACCCATGGGAGCTTGGGCAACGCTTCAAGGGGGAAGGACTGAGCCCTGGCAGGCGATTTTTCTACACAACTATGCCCAGGCCTGGCACCTCTCCCCCAGACAGAAGGGTGCTGAATTAGGGGGCTGGAACTAGCAGTGCCACCGCACCCGCCTTGAAGGGGATCCCCCCTCCCTGGTGCAGAGGTCGTTTGTTAAAAGCTTTTTTTTAAAACAGGCAGAGTCAGGGGTCACTGCACAGACCCTCGCCAAAGAACACAGAACAGCTGAGGGCTTGGAGCTCAGAGATACTCGTCCCCAAGGCCCACGCACCTTCTCACAAGGATCCCCCGAGCTCTGCCGTTTTCTTCTTCTTCTGGGGTGGAGAGAGAAAAAAAAGTCTGTCACCTTCCCCATCAGCGGGGCCCAGCAGACCCAGTTCTGTATCACGTGACAGTCATTGGAGGCTTCCTTGCTCACTCCACAGAAGCAAATTCCACCCCCCCTTCCCAGACAGTTTCATCAGGCAGCTTAGCTCTTCTTTCCAGTTGTCCAGCGGTTCTGCTCCCTCGCTCCTGCCTCTTTCCCACCCCCTCACGACCTCATCCCATCTCCTCCTCATGCCCCCAGCAGGAAATGGAGCGGAGATGCCCGAGCACCACAGACGCCGATCGTTCTGTGCTCAGGGTACTGGCTCCCACCCCGCTCCAGGCCCTGCACACCCACCCACCCACCTTTTTCTTTTTTTTGTGGGTGGGAGCAGACCCGTCTGCGCTCGGCTCCACTCTGGAGGCAGCTTTCTTGCTTTTCTTCTTCTTGTCTTTCACAGTCTTCTTTTCTGGGGGGAAGGGAGGGGTGCATGTCAAAGGGGCAAGCCAGACCCCACTGAGAAGCGGTGCCGAGTGAGGCCAGGGGGAAGGTTACCTTTGCCTTACCCAGCGAGCTGTGGGTTCTGCCTGTGCTCGCCGCTTCCCCACTCTGGCCCTGCACTGCTCGGCAGGCTAGCGCCGGTGGGAGTGTAAGCCCAGCCCTGCCGCGAAGGGCCCACCACTGCTGACAGGCCATGTCGAGGGGGAAGCTGCAGTGCCTTTAGGCGCATGTCCCGGTCTATCCCCCACTGCACAGGAGAGAAGCAGGCGTCTCGTGGGCTGGAGACGCCACTGAGGGCAGCAGCAGCTCGGAAGCGGGTTGACAGCTCAGCCCACTCATGGACTGGGCACAACCATGTGGTGACACTGGAGTAAACTGGGGCTCGCAGAGCTGGGGGGGATGTGCAAAGAGGAAGGCAGGAAAGCAGAGCTGTGCGAGGGGAGGGGAGGGGGCGTTACTGGCACAGAGTCCACGTGCAATTAACCAGTTTGCTAACACTGGCTGTTCTAAGAGGCTGTTCATGCAGGGCCAGAGCGTCCCTTCCGCAGCCCCACAAAGCCCATGACTGCCATCTACCCCAGGCCACTCCTCCCAGGCGAGGAGTCGGATCTTTGCACACTAGAAACCCCAGCAGATACTGCTCTGCCCCCCTCGCCTCTCTTCCCTCCGGGAGCCGGCTCCTCTCGCCCACAGTCATGCCCTCCGCCACTGTGGGAATCTGCGACGCACTGGCCCGCAAGGCGCAGGCTTCGCAGGGCCTGCCCGCAGCGGAAGGGCAGGCCCTGCTCTTTTAACTGCAAGTGACAAACAGGAGCCCTGCTCCATGGCTCTCCCGTGCCCCCCTAGCAGCCTTCACAGCACTGAGTCATCCCCAGCGCATGCCCTGGCTCCCTGCCACGAGGCAGTGTGACCAACAACCCGCAGCCAGGCAGGCCCCGCTTTCGCCCCGGCTGCCAGGAGCAGGAGCATCAGGCTGGAGCTGGGACGATGCCAGCTCGACGCCGAGCTCTGAAACAGCGGGAAGGATTGTGCCACAGATCTGCCTGAGGTGATCGTAGTAGCAAGTGGCGTGGGGCAAGCAGCAGTCACTAGTTTGTCTAGAGAGGCGCAGTGGCAGTCGAAGGAGGAACCGAGCGAGGGCTCTTACTTTTACTGGATTTCTTCTTCTTCTCCTCCTTGCTGCCTGCTGCTCCCTCCCCTTTGCTTTTTTTCTTTTTGGGAGCTTCGAGGCTGCTTTTCAGCTTCTTCGGCTTGGGCTCGGCAACACATGCGTCCCCCGCCGCCAGCTTCCTCTTCGCAGAGGATTTCTGCTTCTTGTTCTCTTTGTCCCCGCTCTTGGGCGGTTTCGCAGCTTTCAGAGCTTTGGCTGGTGCCACAGGAGTTTTCTTCACCTTCTTCCCCCCCTCCTGCGCTCCTGGTGTGGGGCCAGCAGGAGCCTTGGCAGCCGTGGTCGTCTCGTCTTCGCTGTCACTCGCTGAGCTCTCCTCCTCCGACTGAGCTATGGACAGCAGAGCGTATGGCGAGGGCGTGGCCGGAGTGCCCTTAGAACCACCGTCGTTTTGGGCCGCTGCCTGGGCTTTCTTTGCTGGGGCGGCTTTGCAGCTGGCCCCTCCTTCTCCCACCTTCCCTCCAGCACTTCCTTTGCTGGAGGCCACTTTTGGCGCGACAGCTTCCGCCCCAGAAGAGGACAACTTGCTCTCTGTAGAAACCAGTTAAATAAAAGGATTTAGGGAAGAGATTCGTTGCAACCCAAGCTGCCCCAAGGAAGCTGGAGTTTAAAAGCCATCTCCAGTTCCTGCCCCCAGTGTCATTTGCAGGTATTCATGTCACATGAAGTAGTAACTCATCTCCCCAGAAACATGGCAGGGTATCGTTACAGGGCATGGAGCGGGGGAAGTGCATTAGTTCAGAGGACAAAAGCCAGGTCTGGACTTCAAAATTAAGAATCCAAAGGGCCCATAAGAAGGTAAGAATGTCCACACCGGCTCAGCCCAGATGCTAACCTCCCTCTTCCCCCCCCACCCAAAACCAAAATCTTTGAGAATGTTCTACTCTCTCTCTACTCAAGCGGGCCCAACGAGGGTAGGGACAGAACGGCAGAAGGCAACTTGCATGACAACGGTTGCAAGGCTATGCCGTAAAGTCCCTCGACCGTACACATAGCATGAGTAGATTCTAGGTCACAGTGGTCCCTGGCAGGCAGCTAGTCTGACCTGACCATTGCAGGCCACTGCACCGCAGCATAGGGAGGGGATGCACGAGACCCAGCAGAGTTTTCAGTCTTGGGTTTCTACCATTCAATGGTAGCGGGGAGGAAGATTTTAAACCATACATTCTGTTCCAGTCATCCATCCCAACAGCTCTGTTGCCTTGTGTTTCTCTTTGGCCTGTCCTTCCCCCATACAACCACTTCTGAATGATACACACAGCGGGGAAGGACATCCATGGGGATGTAGCAGGCGGGTACTTTGTTGGTAGCATTTGATCAACTTATTCAGAAATTGGCATTTATCAAGCGTGGGTACATTTTTCCCCAATCAAAAATGGTTCCCAGGAGAAATGAAGCGTGTATTTGAAGACAGAAACCCCTCGCCAATCATCAGATTAGAGAGCGCCTCTCCTCATTTGGCTTTAGAAATAAGTTCGACAACGGTCACTAGAAATGTTAGCACAACTTCAGGGTTGAGAATAGCCAGGCACAGGGGCATGCCCTGCAAGCTGCACAACCACACAGTTCTATGCTTCGAACAGAACTCCCTCCGCCCTCCCCTCACCGATCACGAAAACATCGGCGAAGGAAGCGCTAGCCATGTTTCTGGAGGTGGCCAGCAGGGGGCAGCAGCAGACTGTCACACCAATGGAGGACAAGGTGGACTTTGAGTCGCTCTTCACCTGGACTCAGATTTCAGAGATGGAGAAGACCTCTGAGGTGCTCTACCCCAGCCCCGGCTAATGCAGATTCCCCCCTGCCCCCGCATACATTCTCCATGCTCATCTCAAAGTCCCGGCCCACGGGGTTTCCACCACTTCCCTCAGGCGACCACTCCCTGGTCTCTCAGCTGTCGGGAGCCCTGCCCGTGTGTATTTAGGAGCCAGCTCTAAAGCAAGTTCCAATTTGAGAGCCAGATCGCAGCCCTACGACTAACCTGCCTTCTGGCTGGCTGGCGTCGCCTCAGCATCTGTATCAGAGTCACTGCTGTCGCTCGCTGAGACGTCGGGCAGGGCGGCTTTCGCTGGGGGGCTGGCAGTGGCTGCTGCTTTTCTTCCCCCCGGTTTGGGTAAGGTGAGGGAAGCAGGTTTCGGTACCTGGGGTGTTGCTGGAGCCTTAGGAAGACTAGGATAACCTGTCAGGAGGGACTGGAGAGCAACACACGCGCCGAGTGAGACAGGCACCGGGGCTGTGCCTCTACCCTGGACATTTTAACTGTCACCCCAAATCCCCCTTGAGCAGGCTCCCCTCTGGGCCCCCTTGTCATTTGGGGCCACTGGGCTGCGGTGAGTCTTGTGCCCTTTGCTTCTGACATGGGGAGACAAGGGGTTTGTAGGGAGCCCACCGAGCCTTTGGCTCTACCCCACTATTTACCCTCTGCCCTGTACTGCACACCCAACCAGCTCTCGGTAGGGAGTATGGGAGTATTCAGGACAGTGATGGGCAACCTAGGCTAGTCAGTGGGTAATCAAGACGGTCTCCTGGGACAGGGCAGTTTTGCTCACTGCGCTTGCATGCCTAGAACTGGTGGGGGCGCCGACTGAAGCGCAGCAGCGCTTTGGCTGCAGAGGGAGCGTGCGGCGCTCACAGTCACCATTACGTGCCATCAGCACACACCTCACGTCCCGTGCCCTGGCTTTACAATCACGCAGGGCACTTGAGTAACACTGGCTGGAAAAAACCCTGCGTGGACAGAAACCAGCGGAGTGTGACAGCCCTGGGCGTGAACGACAAAAACCATCCTGCTGGCCGCCACCAGAACCCCAATGGGCTGCAGGTTGCCCACCACCGATGCAGGGGCTACCCCAGCAGCGTGCAGCCAAGCGGCAGGTAGTAGCACTGCCGGAGCGGCACACGGAACGAAACCCACCCAACAGGGAGGTTATGGATACAGCTGTTTGACCAATTTATGACATAGGTCATAATCCACCGTGTGTTTGATTCTTTGTTCTCTCCCTATGAAGCATGCCTAGGGGAGGGTTGAGACTTAGTGTGTTACAGATGTTCTGCGCTCCCAGGACATTACTAATAAAGGAGGGTTAATGGCTTAGACATAGGTTTAGTTACAAATAAAAGTTGCTGCTGCGAGAACAGAGAGTTTCCCTTGTTCAGCTATTTCAGGGCTGCAGGGTTCCCGGTTCCTTGTACATGTTTTTTCAGTGGATACATCAGTGGGCAGAGAAACAGCACTGTGATTTGTCTGGCCACTGGCAGGGGAGCTCTGCAAACCCAAGCTCAGACCTCTTCACCCCTTCAGCTGAAGTATGTCCCAGCCCCCTTCAACAGCCCCACCCAGCAGCCTGAGTAGGGATGTGAAAAGTGTTAAAAAATATATCAACTGTGTGGAAACTCCATCGGTTACGCGGTTCAACGGGCTCCCTGTTGCCACCGCTGGCCCAACAACCCGCACTTCCCAGCAGAGTTCAAACGGCAACAGGAATCGAAAAGCATCAGCTGAGCACCTTATCCTCCAAAGCAGTTGCAGCCCCTTCCAGCTTAGTATCATCTGCAAAATTAATAAGTGTACTCTGTATGCCATCATCTAACTCATTGATAAACATATTGAACAGAACCGGTCCCTGAACAGACCCCTGCCGAACCTCACTTGTTATACCCTTCTAGCAGGATTGTGAGCCGTTAACCATTCTCAGAGTAGTTCTTATCCAGACAGTTATGCACCCACATTATAGTAGCCCCATCTCAGTTGTATTTGCCTACTTTATTGATAAGAAGATCATGCGAGACCGTATCAACAGTTTAATGATCATGCGTTTAAACTGTTAGGCCGTGTCTAGACTGGCAAGCTTTTCCGCAAAAGCAGCTGCTTTTGCGGAAAAGCTTGCCAGTCTAGACACGGCCTAACAGTTTAAACGCATGATCATTAAACTGTTGATACGGTCTCGCATGATCTTCTTATCAATAAAGTAGGCAAATACAACTGAGATGGGGCTACTATAATGTGGGTGCATAACTGTCTGGATAAGAACTACTCTGAGAATGGTTAACGGCTCACAATCCTGCTAGAAGGGTATAACAAGTGAGGTTCGGCAGGGGTCTGTTCAGGGACCGGTTCTGTTCAATATGTTTATCAATGAGTTAGATGATGGCATACAGAGTACACTTATTAATTTTGCAGATGATACTAAGCTGGAAGGGGCTGCAACTGCTTTGGAGGATAAGGTCATAATTCAAAATGATCTGGAGAAATGGGCTGAGGTAAATAGGATTAAGTTTAATACGGACAAATGCAAAGTGCTCCATTTAGGAGGGAACAATCCATTTCACACAGACAGAAAGGGAAGTGACTGTCTAGGAAGGAGTACTGCAGAAAGGGATCTAGGGGTCATAGTGGACCACAAGCAAAATATGAGCCAACAGTGTGATGCTGTTATAAAAAAAGGAAACATGATTCTGGGCTGCATTAGCAGGTGTGCTGTGAGCAAGACACAAGAAGTCATTCTTCTACTCCACTCCGCACTGATTAGGCCTCAGTTGGAGGATTGTGTCCAGTTCTGGGCACATTTCAAGAAAGATGTGGAGAAATTGGAGAAGGTCCAGAGAAGAGCAACAAGAATGATTACAGGTCTAGAGAACACGACCTATGAAGGAAGACTGAAAGAATTGGGCTTGTTTAGTTTGGAAAGGAGAAGACTAAGAGGGGACATGATAGCGCTTTTCAGGTATCTAAAGGATGTGACAAGGAGGAGGGAGAAAAATTGTTCTCCTTGGCCTCTGAGGATAGAACAAGCAGCAATGGGCTTAAACTGCAGCCAGGGAGGTTTAGGTTGGACATTAGGAAAAGCTTCCTACCTGTCAGGGAGGTTAAACACTGGAATAAATTGCCTAGGGAGGTTGTGGAATCCCCATCACTGGAGATATTGAAGAGCAGGTTAGATAGACACCTGTCAGGGATGGTCTAAAAGGTGCGTGGTCCTGCCGTGAGGGCAGGGGACTGGACTTCATGACCTCACAATGTCCCTTCCAGTTCCTGTGTTCTATGATTCTAGTGTTCCAAACTTCCACATCCAAATGCCCGAGCAGGTACAACTCTATGACTCCAAGGTGACAGCAGCTGAATTGGGCCTGGTGTCTGCTCCCCCTCACAGCTGGAGGAGAAAGGAGACAGCCCCAGCCCGCAGGGCCTCTCACCTGCGAAGGTGGCGGCTCTTCCTCACTGGACTCTGAGGAGGAGCTCTCGGCCTCTTTTGCTGTTCCCTGCTTCTGGGGCGTCCCTGCTGGAGAAGCAAAGTGCTGGTGAAGGCCTAGCACGGAGCACCCCTGAACTGAGAGCACCTGAGGCCTCTCTGGGCACCTCTCCCGGATACAGGCGGTCGCGGGGCTCCCAAGAGACGCAAGCTCCAGAGCAGCCTCTTCTCTACAAGCAGCCTGCCGCCTCCTCACCCACAGCCTCGTGAGTCAGCAAGGCCCATCCCACCAGCCACGCCAGGGCCAAAGGGTCTATTGCACAGCGAAGCTTTGGTCTCCATGTAGCTTGCTAGGCCGGCAGCCCCCGACGACCACCAAAGTCCCGCACCCTACCCCAAGCAGCATCTCTTACCAGGCTTCGGGGGCTGCTTGGCCGTTTCCTCCTCGCTGTCTGAGGAACTGCTGCTCTCCGAGCTCTCCTGTCCTTTGGCAGGCGGGGCGGGCACAGCCTGGCTCTGGGTGGCCCTGCCTGCAGCCTGAAGTCCTGCTTTTCCTGCTCCTGCCATGGGACCTTTGCCCTTGGCAGAAGGGCTCTGCAACACGGGGGCGTTTGCTTGCACACCCTTCCCCGCAGGGGCAGCGGATTTACCCGAGGCGGCCCCCTGCTGCAAGCAGGCAGAAGGAAACGAGGCACATTTTAGACCATGGGTTCCCAAACTGGGCGGGGAGGAAGGAAGGGGGTACCCTCCTGGGGGGGCATGAAGAAATTCCGGGGGGAGCGCGAGGCGACCCAGCCCCCTCCTCCCCCAAGCTGCTATTTTGTTTTTTGGCCCTGGTCAGTTCTCCTTTTTCTTGCTCAACAAGTTTTGCTGCTATGGCGGGTGGGGTGGGGTGAGGGTCTCTCAAAAATCAAAAAGGGGGCGTGATGCCGAAAAGTTTGGGAACCGCTGTTTTAGACAAACTGCGGGTGGATCATTCATAGCTTCCCAAAGCATACAGCGTACCCCCCAAACTGGGGGCCCCTCAGGGTGAAGGCCTAGTTCCCCATCAGCCTACGGGCAAGTCATGGCACTTCAATGCCTGTCTCCCCATGGACACAATGAGGAAAACACCACCGGCTACATGGGGGTGCTGAGGAAGCCCCGAGCCCCGAGGCAATTCGTGAAAGGAGTTAAGAGCCTCCAGTCCCAAAACCGAACTGCCGTCTCCTCAGTAGAATGCCCTCAGGGACACAGTTAATGTCACCCCCAAATCAGAGCCAGAGGGAGAGGGAAAGCGATGGTCAGGTCACACTAGGTCTGAGTGTGAAGAGGTGCAGGGGAAGCTAGACCAGCTGCCCCCCGCCCAAGCACACCCCAATCTCTGCTCTGCACTTACTAGCCTGGGGTACTGTAGCCCCCTCAACACAGACGCCAGGCTGGAGCCAAGATGTGGGGTCAACCAGCAAGAGAGACCCGCGGGAACTCCCGACAGCTGCCAAGGTGCTGTCAGCCTGGCGCTCACACCGGGAAGGCGCCAGCAGGAGGGCGAGAATTGCAGCCTCCTTAGGCAAGGCGGCAGGGGGCGTTCTTCTGCATTATGGGACCGGTGCAGGATTGGTCGTTAAAATAGTGCTGCAAATCCCACCCTGGCTCCCGAGGCCTGTGGGCTCCAGACTCTACCAGCTGCCAGGGCTCCCTGCAGGACCACACGCGGCCCAGCATTTCCCTTTACCTGGCTTGCAGGCTTCTCTTCCTCCTCGCTCTCTGAGGAACCCGAGCTCGAGCTCTCAGACACCTGGCCAGCAGCTGCCTTCCCAGGGCTGCTGGCTACTCGGTTTGTCCCTTTCCTAGGGATCAGCGTGGGCCTTGCTGTGCCGGCTGCTGTGCCCGGAGGCTCGGCGTCGGTTGCTAGGCCAGACAAGAAAGCAGGAAAGTCAAGACGGTGACTTGAACCAAGACGCACCAGAGCGGAGGAGCCTGGCAGCCCAGGGAATTCGATTCCATTTTGCAGAAGGACAAGGCACCGCCAAGTCAGTCGCTGCGCTCAGATCCCAGGCCGATGGGGGCATCAGACACATGGAACGTAAAGGTGTCACTGTTTAAACAGGTAACCCATAAGCAGGAGCTTATCGGTTACCCAAATGGCTACACAGCTACATGTAGCCCCTGGAGAGCGATCTGCCGCCCCACGCTGCTGCCTGATACAGCTAGCGTGTGCGGGGAGCCGGCGCACATGGGGAGCCGGCTGACACCTCGCATGAAACTGCTGACATTTTCAGCGGTTACACGATTACTCAATTACATGCACTTTAAACATCCCTACTGGATGCAGAACAGAACTCCAGCCACCTGGAGACGTGCTCGTCCACTCTTTCTACACGCCACGTGGTTGACAAGAGGCCACAGCATTTCCTACAGCCCAGGCCTAGCACTGCCAAGCGGGAGGGCACTGACCACTGGGGTTGATAGGAGAAGGAGCCCCACGCTCTGGCGAGGTAGAACTTCAGCAGAGCAGCCTCCTGGCGTTAGTTACAAGCCAGTCAAGGCGTGGGGCCTGCCCTGCATGGTGGGCACCTCGGCACGCTGGGGCTGTGTGGGGATCGCACGTTTTTCACATATGACATCTGGTGCAAGATAGGGATGTGAAAGTGTCATTGGGTACATGGTTAACCAACAAGCTGGGCTCATTCCCAGCCTCCATGCGCTGCAGTGCTGCCGCTCTGATCCCAGGCTCAGCTGTGCGGTGCTGCCGCTCTGAAGTACCCCCCTTCCCGCCCCCCTTTGCTGCCTCCTATAGAGGCAGTGTGGGGAAAAGGGGGGAAATTGACTAGTTGACTAGTCCTTAACATCCCTAGCTCAGCAGAGCTTCCTCCCCCATCACCTGACACCCATGCGGTTTGTTTTCTAGTTACCTGTGGAGGGATTAGCTCCTCCTCCGAGTCAGACTCCTCGCTGGACTCCTCGCTGCTATCTGCTGCCTCTTGTGCTTTTGGAAGGGAGGCTGGAAGGGCCTGGGCCTTCTTGCCACCAGCCAGCTGTGCTGCAGCAGCCGTCTTCATTGCTGAAAGAGGACAGAGGGAAACGGAGGGTGAGAGTCAGGCTTGTTTCTAGGCAGAGAGAGTGGGGGAAATGGGGATGACAAAACACCCTCAGGACACACAGGAGGGGAGGCTTCATTCATTACTAAGTAATAATCAAGAAATGTAAAACAAACAAAAGGAAGCACTTCTTCACACAATGCATCAACCTGCGGAACTCCTTGCCAGAGGATATTGTGAAGTCCATGCTATAATAGGGATCAAAAAAGAGCTATATAAATTCATAGAGGTTAGGTCCATCAATGGACAGGGCTTGCCAAGTGGCGGCGAGCCCTGCTCGCCAGCTGCGCGGTTTGGCACGCTGCGCATGCGCAGACCGCACTGTGGCGCCATGCCGGGCTAAAATCGTCCTAATTATCGAGCCCTGGCTATTAGCCAGGATGGGCAGAAATGGTGTCCCTAGCCTCTGTCAGAAACTGGGAATGGGGTCAAGGGGGTGGATCACTTGATGATTACCAGGCCTAGATGGACCTTTGGTCTGACCCAGCATGGCCGTTCTTACTAGTAATCGCTAATGGAGCCTTCCATTCATGGATCTCCAAGTGCTAACAAATTATTACGCCAAGGCTCCTCCATCTGCCCAGGCCGGGGAGTATGTGTCGGGAAGCAGCCGACCCAAACTGGCTACGCTAACCCCACCTCTCAACATCAAGCCGTGGGCAGTTTGGAAGGACGCTCTAGCAGAGACAGAAGGGAGCGGCACTGACAGGCGCTGCTAACATCAGTTTCAGAACGACTGGCACAGGCTGCAGCCCTTTGCAGTTCAGAACGTGCCTTGTTCTCATTCCTACGGGGCGGCCCTGAACGAAGAGAAGCCCCGAATGCCAATGGAAGGCCAGAACCTCACCAGCGTTAGGAGGTTGCTTTGGGGCTGCCTCTTCCTCCTCGCTGTCTGAGGACGTGCTGCTCTCACTTGTGGAGGCCTTGCCCTGCAAGGCACTTCCTGCTGCTTTCACGGGGCTCCCAGCGTTACCAGCCGGGCTGGGCTTGGCGCCGGAGGATGCCTGCAGAGCTGGCAATCTCTAGGAAAAAAATAAACCAATGATTTTTATTTTCAAAAAACACGAGTCAAGGCTAGCGTCCGGGTTTGTTTCCTGCACCCCTTACTCTGCTAGTATTGAACATGCTCCTTTTATTCCCACAGAACGTCACAGATGGACCATTTCTGGAGCCAATGCAACGCAAGCGGGAGGCAGCAGCTGTTTGCAGCAGACAGAAGCACCACACTGCAGTTTGGGCAAGAAGGAGGAAGGATACGGCAGCCTACCAGAATCGGGTAGGGAAAACTTGGGGGAAACTGACCAGGAAACTGTCTTATAATCCTGGTCTTACAAAAAGGGCCAAGGGATCTTCACGGACAAGGGGCTCTACACCTTGTTATCTCATCTCCTTTGACAATGGTACCTCCAGCAGCCCACGCTCCCTATGAATAAGCCAAGACAATAGTTCAGGTTTGACTTGGAAGGGAGAAAGCACCAATGGAAACCCCACTCCTGCTGCTTGCAGGGGCTAGGTGTCCCTTGGAGGCTCCTCCCTAGAACACTCGCTGACCCTGGTGGCTTGTGACTTTCGGAGGGAGCAGCACGCAAGGTGAAGCCACCCCACGATCCTCCCAGCACAGCAGCTGCCTCCCGGACACAGCATCAGCAAGGAGGTGCCCACAGGAGGGAGACAGTTGCACTTGTCTAGAACACAAGCAATTTCTTTGTCCACATGCCTGAAGAAGCAGCCGTTCAACTCTAACCCACGGTGCTTGGGTTGTACCTTTGAACAGCGCCTGTCGGCGCTCGGATTTCGGCGACTCAAGGCAGAGCGTGAGTCACATCTCAGAGTCATGCGCAGCTGCTGAGTTGATGCAAGGAAATACCAGTCACTGTGGCACTTGAAACAATCATTCCAGACAGGTCTGGTCTTCTCACTTGCCCATGCAGGGTGGAGAGAGCTTCCGTGCTCCTCTCTCTCTTTGGCGGTTTGCAATGGGGGCGCGTAGAGAGGAGTGCCGCTTGCAGGGAGTTCGGGAAACTCTCTACCCTCAGGGGTTCTTCAGTGGTTGATGCAAGGAAATACCAGTCACTGTGGCACTTGAAACAATCATTCCAGACAGGTCTGGTCTTCTCACTTGCCCATGCAGGGTGGAGAGAGCTTCCGTGCTCCTCTCTCTCTTTGGCGGTTTGCAATGGGGGCGCGTAGAGAGGAGTGCCGCTTGCAGGGAGTTCGGGAAACTCTCTACCCTCAGGGGTTCTTCAGGGGCGGTGACGCCCCGCCCCGCTCAGATACCTGCTCTGCAGCATCCAAACATGCAGGGCTGAACACTCCTGCATCAGTTTGCTCAGGCAGAGGAAAAACATAACGACGGCCATGTTGGTCCACCAAGTCCAAAATCCTGTCTTCCAACAGAGCACGGCAATTATTGAGCGACTCATCCGGTGGTTCATGCCCAGGACCTGGTAGTTGGACATTTCAGGACACCCCGTTTGCCAGGCAGAGCGCCACCCAACCTGGCTGTGGCCATTACCCCCTTTTGGGGCTGCGTCCCATGCACTGGGAGCCATTAGCGGAGCGGTTCTCAGGGAAGACAGAGCGCGATAGCAGCTCTACCATGAATGGCCCAATCCCTTAGAACTCATTCACCTGACCGCCTGCGCTGGACTTGGTACTATGCCAGCAGAGAACTAGACCATGACTGCTGTTCTGACAGCCCGGGAGGGTGGGCTGCTGATAACCAGCGGCCACGAGCCCCAAGTCTGAGAGATGAGCGACTGTGGCAAACGTGACTTTCTGGCACGGCCCTGCAGAGTGCTGCCCCACTGAACCCAGCACAGACCAGGAGAACGCACAGGCCCACGGCGGGCGGGCGGGCGCGGGCGCACGCGCGCACACACACACACACACACACACACACACAC